TCGAAAAATTGACCCTTATGACTGGTTTTGTGGTCCAGGGTCACATATTATATATAGATGTTTAATATATAAACATAGCATATTTTTCTTAAATATATACATGCATGTGTGTGTATCTACATGCATAATAAATATACAGTACACACTACACATACACATTATGTGAGCAAAAACGTTTATTTTGGATGTGATTAATCGCGATCGTTTGACAGCGCACTATATTATTATTATTATTATTATTATTATTATTAGTAATAATAATAATTTTTTTTTTTTTTCTGCTGGTGACCTTTGTTGTGCTGTTATATATCATGCTTTCCTGTAGAAAAGTGTTTTTTTTTTCTTCGTAAATCCTACTATTATTTCTAATCAAGGTCTCTGACTCATACAAACAGTGCCAGATGCGGGAAGTATTTGCACGACAGCTTATGCAGATCAGTGGATAAAGCAACCGCTGTTCTTGAAAACTACAGCACAGTCAGCAGGTGTGACTCACTCTCCACTATTGCAGAAACACTCACTCATTAAAACTAATTTACATTCCACTATCACAGACACTCACTCATTAAATTACTCATTTATATTCTACTATCCCAGACATTTACTCACTGTATGAAATTAAAATTATTGTATTCCATAACAATTGCTTGGTAACATAAATGGAAGACAACATGTCAAGGTCATGTCATTTTACCTCTTGGTTCACCCAATCGTTTGGAAAAGGTTATTGGCTTTGCTTTATTTTTTTAATCATTTATTATTTCTCTAGTTTATTGCAAGCATATGATCAGTGCTCCGATGAAACAGATAAAGAGAAACTTCTTTCATCCATCAAATATGGAAAACTCAAAAGGTTTGTTTTGTTTGTACTGATTTGTTTATACTCTATCTGTCTGTTTGTCTATCTATCTGCATGTATGTATGTCTTTGAGTATGTGTTTAAAATTAATGTAATGGCTTTGCTTGCTCATCTGCTAAGAATAGCTATGTGTGACCCTGGACCACAAAACCAGTCTTAAGTGTCAATTTTTCAAAATTGAGATTTATACATCATCTGAAAGCTGAATAAACAAGCTTTCCATTGATGCATGGTTTGTTAGGATAGGACAATATTTGGCCGATATACAACTATTTGAATATCTGGAATCTGAGGGTACAAAAAAATCAAAATATTGAGAAAATCACCTTTAAAGTTGTCCAAATGAAGTTCTTAGCAATGTTTTGCAAGTTTTGATATATTTATGGTAGGAAATGTACAAAATATCTTCATGGAACATGATCTTTACTTAATATCCTAATGATTTTTGGCATAAAAGAAAAATCGATAATTTTGACCCATACATTGTATTGTTGGCTATTGCTACAAATATACCCGTGCTACTTATGACTGGTTTTGTGGTCCAGGGTCACATATAAAGAATATGAAGAAAATATAAAGAAATCTATATTTTTATTCAGCAAGGATGCAATAAATTAATCAAGTGACAGTAAAGACCTACATTTTATTTTAAATGCTGCTTCTCTGAACTTTATATTCATCAGTGAATCTTGAAAATAATGTATTGAGATTTCCACAAAAATATTAAGCAGCACAACATTATTCAACACTGATAGCAACAAGAAATATTGAGCACCAAATCAGCATATCAGAATGATTTCTGAAGGATTATGTGACACTGAATGATGAGTAATGATGCTAAAAATTCAGCTTTGCATCACAGGAATAAATTACATTTTAAAATGTAGTAAAATAAAAAAAATAAAGTTATTTTAAATAGTAATAATGTTTCACAAAATTATTTTTTGATCAACTACATGCATTCTTTGTTTAGCCTAAATGACTTCATTTATTAATTCAGATTTTTTTTTTAGTTGCTATATTATGATGTATATTTTTTTTTATTGCAGGAATATTGGACCGGCCTCGAGCCGCACTATATATCAGCTCTACTGTACACGTGGACCTCTGTCATAGGCTTTCGCCTTATTACAAACACAAAAGTGTTGTTGCACTTTAGTTTAATCATTGCATTTTCATTTTCATTCAGTACATTTGTTGACTCTCAAATAATGTATACAATAATAAAGATATAAATTACAGTTTTTCTAACTTTCTGTCTGTCTGTTTCTCTCACCCCTCTGGAGTATTGCCGTTCAATTCTATGCTTCAAAAAAAAAAACCCTGCAAACTTGCTGTGCCTTAACGTTAATCACTGAAGCGAAAGATTTCTAAAAAGGCAAAATGTGCATTAAAATGAGGGAAATAATTGCAAGGGGGCATTGGTGCAATGGATTGGGACAAGCTGTATGGTGCAGGTGGGTGACATCAGTGTTAAGAAAGGAGTGTTGAGGTAACAGCTGCTCTGCCTTACAGGAGATTGGAGGGGGACTCCGCTGACGTCCTCTGAATCTCCCTCAAGGAGAAACACGCATATCGACAAAAACAAGTAGGGCGCCTTGGATATTGCTTTCGTGGAAATGTGTTTTGACGTTTTGCTGCCTGCATCCAGCATTCAGACAGGCGCGGGCGTTATAAAATCCTCGATGCATTCTCTTCCCATCATCCATGTTACTGGACCTACAGCCATAACAACAACCTCATCATCCTCACCACAGTGAAGGTGATGAAGCTGTTGCTGAGATGGTCAGAACCGAGAGACTATTTGAGAAGATATGCATGCACTTGATGTGTGAAGGGCAAGGAGGAGACGGAGAGTGCGGGTGGGTAATGTGGCGTTGTTCATGCGACTTCGCCCAGGCTGCTGCTCTCGAGCAAACGTATCGGGACCAGCGGCGGATGGGGTGACTTACCCGAGGGCCGCCCGCCACATCCTGAAGCCCGGGGTGCCTCCGTGGGGCTAGAGGGACGGAGGAAAGATGCAGGAGGCGACGGCAGATGGAGAGGAGCCCATCCTCAACGGAGCTGGGAGGGAAGAGGTGAGACGAGGGCGTGTAAATTCTCCAAATCCAAAATAAATGGTGTAATTTTGTGTTTGCATATACAGGTTAGCTGGTATTCTGTAGTACAGTCAGTATTAGTGTTGAGCACAGGAAGGCTGTCACGACGTATATGGCAAGCCATTTTAACATTTGTTACTGACAATTTTTAATTACTTGCTAAACAATCCATTAGAGAATAGTTGTATCTTTATCAGTTTCAATAGTAACTATTAGATACTACTACTTATTCTATTAGTGACGAGCATTTATTGTAGTTCTACTTAGGTAGTTAGACCTAGTACCTTTATAAGACAAATCTCTCCCATTTGTTTCTAGTAGCATTTCTTATATTACATGTTTTCTTGTCATATATCATGACTGGTCAGAATGGCTTAGTTATAATTTAATAAAAATGTTATCAACAATAGAACTACACTGTCTAATA